TGTATTTACAAAAAACATCAAATTCAATACAAACTATACTCATCCTGCATTTTTACTTTTCTTTTCATGGTTTATATAATATTCAATTACTTACGTTTATGTTTTATCTACTTTTGGTCACTGATTTAAAAAAAATAAGATATGATCACTTTCGTTTTTATTTAATTAAGATATGGTCACCCCGAGTTAACTGTCGTTAACAGGAGTTAAATATTTTCATATAATCACATATTTGGTCATTGTTATTTACATATTCTCTCAATTTAGTCTTACTTTTAATAACTTAAAATAAATTTAATCCTATTTTACGACTCGGAGTTGACTTAGAATTTTTTCGAGTCGAGTCGAGTCAAATTTTTGAGTTTCTGTTTAAATTTAATTATAAATAATTATAATATTATGATAGTATTTGATTTCAATTTGAATGATCTTTTATAACCATATACAATACATGTGTATTTGTTCATATTTTTTTCATATATGATACACATTTATGATACAAAGTCAAGAGACTAAACTCAAACTTGAAAATCAATCTACTAATTATTAAAATTTTCGAGTTATTCAAGTTATTCGAGTTATATTTTATAACTCATTTTAACTTGAAATTTTTTCGAGTTGAGTCGGGATTATGGAATTACAACTCTAAGTTAATTCGAGTTAAGTTTTTAAGAGTCGAGTCGAAAAAAAAATCAGTTCTTCGAGTCAAGTAGAGTTTCGCTCACCCTCTAATGCCACATGTCATCGTTCGGTTGGAGAATTAACTTTCATAAAACTGACTCGACTAAAAAAATTCAAGTTCAAACCGAGTTGTAAAATACAACTCGAATAACTCAAAATTTTTAATAATTAGTGGATTGATTTTTCAAGTTTGAGACTCAATATAAAGAAATACACATGTATTGTATATGGTTATAAAATATCATTTAAATTGGAATCAAATAATATCATAATATTATAAATATTTATAATTAAATTTAAAAAGAAATTCAAAAATTTGACTCGACTCAAAAAAAAAATTCTAAGTCAACTTCGAGTTGTAAAATAAGACTCGTTAACTTGAATAAATCGAAATTTTTTGACTAGGCTCGATCGAACGCTCACCTCTATGTGGCGTGACATGTGACATCATTCGATTGGAGGATTAAATTTATTTTAATTTATTAAAAATAGGACTAAATTGAGAGAATATGTAAATAATATGAATCAAATGTATTATTATATCAAAAATATTTAATTGTTGTTAATGATAATTAACTCGGGTGATCACACCTTATTTAAATAAAAATAAAAGGGACCACGTCTAATTAAATAAAAATTAAAGTGACCACATCTTAATTAAATAAAAAAAATGATCATATCTTATGTTTTTTAAATTCAGTGACAAAAAACGAACAAAAACATAAACATAAGATTTTCATGTAGTTAGCTCCAAATTTAATTACAAAATCTCATGGGGGGGGGTTATTTGACATAACTGACACCAATTTTCTTTAATATTCTTTTTCTGACATCGTTTGACCAATATTTTCCGAAATAGCACCTTTTTAGCTGAGTTGGTAGAGGCGCGTCCCCGGGGACGCGCTTTACCCGTGTTTTCGCTGAGTTGGATGCCACGTGTGGAAGGCGCATCCCCGGGGACGCGCCTTTCGCCAGCTCGACTGCCACGTATTTTGTTTAATAATAAATATTTTATTTTTATTATTATTATAAATTAATAATATATTATGTAAAATGTTTCGATTATAATGTAAGAATTATCAAATGTATTTTGTTAATGTGTGTTAAAGGTGGAGTGAATTATCTACATTAATATGATATAACAATATATGAAAACCAGTTTTGACTTTATTGTAGTTATAGGAAAAATGTATGAAATTATAATATTACACATATGGTTATATTATTATTTTTGATTTTGATTATCGATCTATTAATTTTATCAGTTAATTATTTAAATGTTATCAATCTAGTCATCTCATATCAATATTTAACGAAAATATAATTATTTAAATAACATAACCAAATTACATAAAATTCTGAAATATAATTATTTAAATAATATTAAATACAACTGGATCACCGATGTCGTCTTCTCGAATGAGTTCCACATGGCGGTGGTTGTCTATTTCGTGGAGGATTTCTTCGTGGAACTTGTTCTTCAGTCTCCTCATCTTCACTATCATCATCAACAACATTTTCTTCATTTGGTGTAGATGGCGCTGAAGGGGCTGAAGGGCCTGTATAAAATAACGACCCTGGAGGAGTGCTAGTAACAATCCCACCGCTCCCCGGGAACTGTGAAAACTGTGGAAACATTGGCATCGATGTCTGTGATCCAGATGGAGATTGAGGTGTTTGCGGAGAAGCACCACCAGCCAAATAAGATGCATATGAACCATATGCTGGATCATTAAACATAGTCGTATATGCACCTCCATATGGTATAAAACCCTGCGGGCTAGGCATGTAACCTGGCGGGCTAGGAATGTAACCCTGCGGGCTCGGAATGTAACCCTGCGGGCTCGGAATGTAACCATGCGGAGATGGCATATAAACTGGTGGGCTTGGCATATGAAGTGGAGGGCTGGGCATGTACCCCTGCGGCATCGACGAATAAGGATGTTGTGGTGGGACTGATGCAGAACCGGTAGCGCCTTCTCTCCGTCCACGCGTCGGGGGACGATGATATTGAGACGGTTGACGTCTTTCTCGGCGCCTAGGAATGTTAACCCCTCGTGCTTCCGCCGAAAGTAGAAACGGCTTCCCATTTTCATTAAACCAGTCCATATAGTTATCCGTAACCATATGACCAGTTTCAGCGTAATATTGTCGAGGGGCTAACAGTGTATATCGGTTCTCCCAAATCGCAATCCAATCTCTGTGTCTCACCACCCAGTTAACATCTTTCTTTCCTCGTCTATCTATGTTATGCACGTCGTCTAAATTCCTAGGTGCTCCAGGAATATATTGCGTACAACCATACTGACGAAGCACGCGATCAACTGGATGCCACTCAATAATAACATAACATAACATATAAGAGGTATAACCGATATCCATACCTCTAATGACCCACTAAGGTGGGGTGGGATGCAAACTTTCACTTCATCGCTCGCATAAGGTATCCACTGAAACTGAAATATAAATATACAATTCAAATAAATAAAATATTCTAATTATATCTAACATTTTAAATTAAAATATTAATAATTAAACAAATTTAAAAACATACCTCAGACCCAGCTTTCGTATCAATAAGTAAACGAATTTCCTCTAACCCAGTAGGTATACTTTTATGGTCCTTTCTTTTCATCGACCACCTATGAGATATAATATAAACTAAATATCACCCTATTTTATTGAAAATATTTAAATCAAAATTTAGTTCGAAAATTACCTCAACAATAAGGGGAATACGTATGGTTCATTCACGATCGGGCATAAGAAAGACATGCGGAACCACGCCCATGATTGTAGAAGCAGAAGACATCCACCGATAGCAGTTTACTTATAATTCGTCGCCCGACACATTTCTCTAAAGATTCCAAAACTGCAGCGCCCCAACTATATCTTCCAGCTTCATCAAAATCGATCAGATGTCGCAACCACATACAATGCACCTGGTTGCGAGATTTGTCGGGCATCAATATTCCTCCAATTATTCGTAGAATATATGCCCGAGCACATGCCTTTGCTTGATCCTCTGAAGCATTTTCATTTAAAACCTCAAAATTAGCTTTCAACCAAGATAAAGTTATTCTACCTCCATTAAACTCTGGCGGAGCAGCTCCAAGATAATCAATGCACATTGATTGCCAATCACCATCCGCCATACCACACATCATATTTCCGTCGACGGAAAGCCCCAGATGCATAGAGACATCCTCCAATGTAATTGTCGCCTCTCCACATGGAAGGTGAAAAGTGTGTGTTTCGGGCCTCCACCTCTCAATCAGTGCAGAAATTAGGACAGGTTCGAGTTTGCAACCGTCTATAATTGTTGCAATATACCCGAACCCGGCAGAAGCCAAATATGGCAAAATACGTTCCGGTGTCGGTATACGTGGATTTTTAATAAAAGTCTCTAAAATACGATCAACATCCTAAATAATATACATTATAAAAAATTAAAATTAATATAAATTCATAATAACTTTAAAATAAAAATTAATATAAATTCATAATAACTTTAAAATAAAAATAAATTTAAATATTAACATTAATTATAAAAAATATTACCATATCGCTAAAATGTCTGGAGATATGATCAATATCCAATCGCAACCGCATTTCGTTTTCCATTATAACTGTAGACAAAACAATATAATTAGCAAAAAAAATTAATAATTCTAAATAAATAATAATTATATAAATATTATTTTAATAAAAAAATAATATTTACATAAATATATTAATATAAAAAATAATAACTATTTAAAAAAATACTAACATAAAAATAAATTTCTTACCACTAATAACAAATTTAAAACTCAAATAGTTGGAGAATTTGAGTTATATAAGAGAGGAGAATATGATTTTGGTGTGAAGAATGAGAGAGGGTTGAGGGGGTTTATATAGGGGAGGAGGAGGGGTATTTAGGAAAAACGGATGGGGGAATTTATGGCATTTAATGGAAGGCGTGTCCCCGGGGATGCGCTTTCCACACGTGGCAGTCGAGCTGGCGAAAGGCACGTCTCCGGGGATGCGCCTTTCACATGTGGGATCAAACTCAGCGAAAACACGGGTAAAGCGCGTCCCCGGGGACGCGTCTTTGCCAACTCAGTAAAAAGAGTGTTACTTCGAGAAATATTAATCAAACGATATCAGAAAGAGAATATTAAAGAAAATTGGTGTCAGTTATGTCAAATAGCCTGTGTGTGGTGGGAGCTCCGTTCCATACGCGATTACGTCCCGTCTGACGTGTACACAGAAATTTGCAATATTTCACCCCCTAAATTTCCGTTCCACTAGATATACCCCGTTCTTAAAATCCATTCCTCCAGAATCTCCACTTTGAAGCTTCTTGTATTAATTTTCAGATCTACTCAAAATGGCAAAGTTTGGATTTCCTACCATTGTTTTCTTCTTGGTTTTAGAACTCGCCTTCGCTACAGATTCGCCGGCGCCGACTCCCTCACTTGGTGCAGACACACCGCAACTTGCTCCTACTCCGGTGACTGGATCTCCTGATTCAACCCCATTAATCTCACCGGTAATGCCTGCATCGCCTCCCGCGCCAATGGCGCCATCTCCATCAGATCTGGCGCAAGGAGACTCATCGCCTTCAAGTTCTCCTGCTCCTTCACCGAGCGATGCAAGTGACATCAACCACGGCAACATCAATGGCGAAGAAAGCGAAGACAAGACCGGCCGTGACGGAGGTTTGAGCGCAGGGAAAAAGGCCGGAATCGCGGTGGCAGTGGTGGCAGCGGTGTGTTTGGTTGGCTTCGGTGGATTGGTTTACAAGAAGAGACAAGATAATATCGGGAGATCTCAATACGGATACGCCGCGAGGAGAGAAATTCTTTGAAGAAGAGACGGGTACAGATTTTAAAAATGATTATAAGAGGTTACATACATTATGTATTTTACCTGCTTTTGATTTGATTTTAGTAATTCTCACTTGGTGATTCGAAATTTCTTATCTTTGATTATTTGCAAGGAATTTTCGACCATTTTTTGCGAGAAATTTAACCCGTCGTGTACTGTATTTACCCTGCGTTTCCATCAATTAGTCAACGGATGTATGTCTATTCATTTAGCATTTGAATTTACACTACCCAATTTCATTTACTGGTGGCATTTTACTTTCTTTAGAGCAGTTAGCATTCATCTTTCCTTGTGGTGTCCTTTGGCGATTTCCATTGTTATGATGCAATGCGATTCAAGTATTTGAATTAAATATTTAATAATAATTTTTTTATTAGTCTTAGATGGTGAAAATTATTAACCCCAAAGTATCCTTCTACTAATAGAACTGTCTTTAATATTAAATCTGTTGTAAAACAATGCAAACAGATTGAGATGCAGTAAACACAGTGCTAATTAGGCACTTTAAACCCGAGAATGTTGGACTCAATACGACAATGTTGATATTTCTACTGCTCTTATTAACTGTATTTGGATTGGTATGTTAAGAACACCGGTATGCCTTGACCTCCAATCTGCTAATTCGAACTCCAACCTACTAAATTTAGTCTTCAGCAGCAGGGTCTACCCAACGGCCATGATCTTTTATCAGTTGGATCAAGGCATCAGTCGCATGCTCCATTGCAATTCCACGCTTCACAACAGTCTAAAAAGGTGATACAAATAGTCAAATACTAGTTAGGTTCACAATCACAGTATATTTAGCTTTGAAAAGAGTTATTTTCGACGAATTAGAAAGCATTAAATGCCATGCTATAGTACCTTGCCAACATAAAGGTCAATTTTTCCAGGAGCACCACCAACATATCCGAAATCAGCATCAGCCATTTCCCCTGGACCGTTGACGATGCAACCCATGATTGCAATCTGGAAAAAGTAAGATGAATTATATATATTATTCTAAATAAAATGATGATTAACTCGAATACCGTCCAGTGTTAGATAGGAGAGAGATATAAGTGATTACCGAAACACCAGGTAGGTGTGACGTTTTTTCACGTATTTGTGCACTTATTTCTTGAAGGTCAAACAAAGTTCTGCCACAAGATGGACATGAGACATACTCCTGCAACCAGATTTCAAGAATAAGAGTATTGTTGTTTTGTAATATTTTGATGTTGAAAGAAGCTAAGATTCATACTGTCTTGGTATTCCTCATCCTACAGCCCTGCAGTAAGTTGAAAGAAGTATCTCTGAGGAAATCAAAATCCTGGTCCAGGGATTCTAGCAAGACACCGTCTCCCAATCCGTCAACCAGAAGGGCTCCAGCATTGGTGCCGGCATTAATGACCAAGTCATCCCTACATGTAGAGAATAAAAACATAATGAACTAAAAATTTCAGTACATTGACTTCTGTAACAACCACTATGCGGTTAATTACCTGTGAATCCCACTTGGATATTGAATATGGTGGATTACAGGGACATCCAGAGCATTCTCAGATAGATACTCAAATAACCTGCAGCAACATAATGTTCAAATATTTGCTAATGTTCAAATAAGTTAGGGATTGAGTTAATTGTAATGGGTCTTAAGACAGGAAATCATACTTTATGAATGATTCCATCTTGACTTCCGACAAAGTTACTTTACATGTTACACCCTTTATCTATAAGAGTTGAACAAATTCAAGCCATTAACATTTTACCTCCTAGCTGCATGCACTCTGCCAATTTTATCTTCATTGTAGGGTATAGTATGAAGAAGCATTGTAGCATCGATGTCTTGGAGGATTTCCAACTCTTCAAAGGGCTCGTCACCATGTAAAGATACAACCAATCGTGTACCTGCAAGGTAATATTGATATCATATAAACAACCATCTATTCTTTAAGAATTCAATGTCAAAAATAAGGACCAGCACCTTCTGGCAAAAGCTTGTAAGCACCGGTTGATAGTTCCTTGAGGCTTACCAGAGCCATAGCATTAGGCAATGGCTTTGTCAGCTGCTCTGATAAAGGAGTTATGACCCCCATGCTTATGTCTATCAGCCTTTTAAGAGCTAGCCGCTGGTTATAACACAGAATAATATTGACCATTTCATTTCAATTGTTTTTGTAGAGAGAGAGAGAAAGGACAAGAGATGAGAGGGAGTGGAACCATAGACTTCATTCCCTGAGGAAACAAAATAAAATAAGGCAGATTCTTACAGCATCACTGTCGTGTACGGGTGGAAGCTCCCTCAGAATGATCGAGTCCACAGTTGCCAAGTCCTAAATCAAGCTAGATGATTCAATTGTGATGAAAAAACACATAATGCAGCTAACTTATACGAGCATGGACCGAGAGTAGACCTTAAATGGCATGCCAACAACCAGCTTTGCTGCAAGTGACTTGTACAAGAGTTCTGGTGTCTGGAGAGGGGAAAAATAATCAACGAAAATCTCTACATCTTACCCCAAAAAAATAAGAAAGCAGAGTCTCAAGCGGTTACCTTCAATTGATCCAGGGAAACAGACATAAGAACTGAGCCATCACGATGTAAGACACCTCTATAATCCACCTCTTCACCCTATAAAGAATGAATTCTCCATTTAAAAAAGCACAGTGCATAGGATGAGCTAACAGTATGTTAATGAGACATTTATGGCTAACCTCCTTTTGTGTTGGCAATTGACCAGAACGGCGCTGGAAATCAAAGTAATGTCTGTGCTTTTCCTCAAATGGGGCCTGATGAAATTTTAAGGTTTAGATACAAAAGTTCTCAAAATGTCATTTTAAGTACTAAAACAAGTTGTCTAATTACAATAGTTGTAGTATCCTACCACCCCTTGCTGGAGTTGAGCAGCTTTCATACCAAGGTTAGCCAACCTTCTGCAGGGATCTATCTCCTCCTCTGGTGGCTCAGTAAGTGAAACCCTGATTGTGTCACCTAAACCATCCTGCAAGTCGACAAAGCTCCACAGCACTGTAGTTATGAAATGATTTCTCACTTGTAAATTATGGCTACAAACATTTAAAGAATTTGGAATAGCTTCTCTTGACTATACTATTTACACTATGGGGGTACCTGAAGGAGGGTCCCTATTCCAATAGCAGATTTCATCCTCCCATCCTCACCTTCTCCGGCTTCAGTAACTCCCAAGTGCAACGGATAATCCCAGCCATGAACATACATTTCAGCCACAAGAAGACGGTATGCCTGGACCATGATAACTGGATTGCTTGCTTTCATTGAGAAGACGAAATTATGATAGTCCAACTTTCTACATATCTTAGCAAACTCAAATGCAGATTCAACCTGTTTGAAAAAACCAATTAGTGGAATCATATCAAGATAAAAACACTCTTGAAAGCCGTCGGCAGAGTGAGATGAGATAAATATTCACCATTCCCCTAGGAGAATCACCGTAGTAGCTCATTATGCGGTCAGACAGGCTCCCATGGTTGGTTCCAATACGCATTGCCCGTCCATACTTCTTGCATTTTTCGACCAATGGAGTAAAAACCTGTAGTGGGGGATTGAGTTCAATATGCATACTGAAATCGATACATGCATAAAGAATCAAACACGAAGACAATTAATTTTATGGACTCTATGATTTGACCTTCTCGATATGCTCAAGTTCTTTATGATACTCCTCATCTGTATATTCTATTTGCTCAAACTGAGCCCGTCTATCAGCTGCCAATTAACCACCTTCTTTGATTCAGAATTGATTAAATAAAAAACTTCTCTAAAAATGACCGCACAGCAAATTATTTACCAAAATTTCCTGGGTTGACTCGAATTTTGTCGAAGCACTCAGCAACTCTCAATGCAACTGAAGGAGCAAAATGGATATCTGCCACCAGTGGTATGTTATAGCTGCATTTATAAAATGTTAGTTACATGATTTAATTTTGATATTACATGATTTAATTTTGATATTACATTAAATGTGATTGAAACTTCAAATAACTGCAAAATAATTCTAAAATTGTGATATAGAATAGGACATACTTCTTCTGCACCAGAGAGTTTTTTATTTCAAAACATGCATCTGCCTCTCTCTTCCCTTGAACAGTTATCCGGACAATATCCGCCCCTTTGTCTGCTATTCTCATCACCTAAAATCAACAGAGGCAGTTAATTTCAAACATCAACAATTCATAACACTATTGCATACAAATTAGAAGGCTGCTTATAACACTGGTTTGTAGTTGTGAACATTTGGCCACCTTAAGGAAAGGAAAAAACTGAGAGCATCAGATTTATTGCCGATCCTTATCGATAGAAATTGCAGGAAAAGAGAACAAAGGCCATATACTGACCAGAAAAAAAAGCTTAAGCGGATGGGAGAAGTCAATACCTGCTCCACTGTCCCAGCCACATCCTTAGTATCAGTAGTGGTCATTGTTTGAATTCTTATAGGATGCTCACTACCAAGAGCTACATTTCCGACCATCACTGTCCGTGTTTTTCTCCTGACAGTTTTGTGTATCGATTCACAATATTTTTGCCTAGGAACTAAATTAAAAAATAATAATTAATCACAAGATATAGAAATAATCAGAATAAAGTACAAAGCTTGAATGAAAAATGAAAATCACTTGCACTTGGAAACGATATACCTAAATGATATGGAGGAACCACACAGAATTAATCATGATCCAAAGCTTAAGTTAAATGTTAAGGTGCGAAAAAAGGGGAAACATCTCGTTTCAACTAAATTTGCCACTTTAATTTAGATAAAGATCAACACAGAATTCAAATATAGCATACAAATCCAGATACTAGTTTTTTTTTCTGTTTGAGCTTTATACCTAAGAGAGGGCTCCCTTCTGACGCAGGCTTAAGTTCAGCAGTATCCTGACCAGGGTTCTGATTCCTAATTACTGAGATTCTTGTTCTACCAGGTTTAGTTCTCTTCAAATCACAAATTCTCACAAAATCCAGACCTTTTCCAAATCCTAGGCTTG